TGTTATATCATCTTAAATCCATGTTTTCAGCTTTAATCTGAGAACATTTTCAGTTACATCACTTGAACAGCTTTTTGTTTCTGCTGTGTCAGTTTCAGGGCACCAGTGCTAATTCAACAAAGCAGTGCTTTTACATGGAATAAAAGTGATTCTTAAAGAGATAATTTAACAGATGCTTTATTGTAACATGTATTTATATGCTGATTATTAGTATTAGTTATTATATCTAAATGCAGGTAATATATTAAGCTTTAACCACTGAAAAATCTATGAAATATATTCAGTATCATAATAATTCAATTTAAAAGGTTTCATCTAAAACAGCTTGGTTAGCAGAGGAGTGGCCTCTTTATACAGTAAATGGTTGAACAACAAAGTTGATTGTCATCTTTTTCATTACACTGCTTTAAAAATAACGACTTTCAATCTGACAATTTATGAGGGAATTGATTATTGTAATGGACGGCTATAAAAGTACTCATTTCCCCATTTTGATTTGCTGGCATCACTTCCAGGAAAAGTTTCACTTGAGCTCGCAGGAGAGGGGCCTTTCCAGATTATTTCTTCAAGTGCTTTGATGAGATTATTGCAAACAAAATCTATGATGCCTGTTTCAATCAAGGCTTTTTATGGCGCATGACTGGAAGGAGAGGAGAGAGCCAAGAAAAACACAGCAGCCACAACAAAACTAAACAAGCAATCCCATACTGCAGTGCCTTATTCTCACATTGAGAATTGGAGAGGTTTTTTACAATTATTTTTTCATTTAGTGAATCAGCAATGTAGCCAGTAACAAGTTAAATCTGATTAAAAAAAAGATGAGGAAAACAAGTTGCACAAGAGAGAAATATTCAAGTAAAGTGCAAGAACCTTATTACTGTAATCAAGCATAATAAATGAGTAAATAGACCTAAAAATGTCCTTTGGCACAAAAAAAGTCATATGTTTTGTAGTAGTATTGTATTTTAATTTTATGCCCAAATTTTACTCAACATAAAAGCACAGAAGCTTCCTTTATGCTTAAAAAAAGCTATACAACAGGTTTATGTTACAGCCATCAGTTTTAATTATTTACACTTAGTTTTAGAGAAATTGTAACCTTGTAAAGCAGAAGGCTCTACTTTTTTCAGACTGATTTAATATTAATTCTTGCCTTTTGATAGTATTTCTGTAATTAGCTCTTGAACATTTAATTTACTTTGATAAATGGAGTTATCGTGACATTTTTCATCTACACACCCAAACAAGAGGGCAGAAGTGCAGAGGGTGAAGTTTTTTATTAGCAAAAAGTAAAAGCAATTATCCCTCAAATGTGCCCTTTTGGAAAGGAAAACGAGCTCCAGTATTTGAGTATTTAAGATGTTCATTTAGGTCAGTGCCACTGACAATACAGGCAAATATAGAGTCTTTTTTTAGTTTTCTTTTACAATTTAACAATATTTTACAAAATGTTCGTGAGATTGATTTTTTTTGGCAGTGCTTTAACAATATTGAAAACCGAAAAGTTTGGAGCTCCATGGCAAAGGGATCCATAGCTAGTATGAATCTCACAACTGGACTAAATTAAAGGTCCAGTGTGTGGGATGCGGTGGAGCAACTTCTTGGCTTCACGCTCCCCATCTAAGCACAAAGGAGAAACTATGGTGGCCGTGAAACGTGCAAAAAACACCTACATCTAGGGCCAGTGTTTGGTTTGTCCTTTCTGGGCTACTGTAGAAACATGATAGTTCAACAAGGCGGATAAAACGGCTCACTCTAAGGTAACAAAAACACAACATTCCTATGTTCAGGTAATTTAACACATAGCTATAAAAATTACATTCCTTTTCTGCCAACAGATCCTCCTAAATGTCACAAACTTTAAATACTTTCTTTTTTAGACATCACAGATTCAGTGTCCTCAACAAGTTGCCAACCTTGCCTAATGGAAACCTTATAATGTTGTCATGGTAACTAAATTGGGAGGAAATCACACGACAAAAAGTGTCTTCGTCAACGAAAGCAGCGTGGTATAGTGGTGCAAAAAGGTTCAAGAGGCAAAAAGAGAAAGAGTAAAAAGAAAACTTTGATTTGGAAAAAAAGAAAAGGCTCAAAGGAAGAAGAGTAAATTGAAAAGGAACCAAGGGCAGTGTTGCAATCAATGGCATTTTTCTAAAAGGATTGTTTGTGAGCAGAAGGGGAAGAAGGTTATGCAGCCAGTTTGTGAAGGTACAGAGAAAGGAGGAGGAGGAGGAGGAGGAGGAGGAGGAGGAGGAATAGGAAGAGGAGGAGGAAAATGTTTCTTTCATCCAGCGTGCACATGAGTGTGTTTATATGAGAGAATCGGAGAGACAGTCCACAATTGGGATTGGCAGATATTTCACATCTCATATTGTTGATTAAGCTAACACTGACCAGACTTCTTCCACATCTAATTTGATTCAGTGGAGCAGAAAATGTCTTTTCTCTGTTTAACCTGCACTAGTCTCCGAGATTATATAAATAAATGAACATTGTTTTGGCTCAAGATTGATGCCTTTGCTGAATGAAAAAGCAGTAAACATAAACTGCCATTATTAAACTGTAAATTGGTGTGGGACCTAATCTCTCTTATGCGTGTTCACATAAGAGAGATTCTGAAAATCCTGCTTCCATGTAGCCGAATAGCTCGCCTGTGTTACTCTCCTTCAAACACATTAAGAGAAAAGCATTTTCTCCCCGTCTCTCTCCCCTCTCTCTTGCACTGTCCCAGCCTCTATCCCGCGATGCACCGCTGTTTGCTAACAAGAGAGGACAGCCAATCGAAGTGACCCGCCTTAAGCTTGCCGTTTTCCCGGTCTCGTTTTCTGTTTGAAAAGCAGCACACACTCTCAGAGGCCATTTAGCCGGTGCAGTAATGACAGAGGCAAACACTTGCTCGATCCAAAACAGCACAAATGGATGTGGTAACAGGCTGAGAGAGGAGTGCAAAACAGCACTGAAAGAGCCTTCCTTTGCTTTGTTTTTTCCACATGTGAAAGCGAGGTCTGCGGGGGGGGAGTGCACAGCATTTTTATTTCAACAATACATGTGTCTGTATGACTATAAACGTCTGTGTTCAGGCTTCAAAGAGTCGCACGATGAAAACTTCAAAGCTTCTGTTTGCGTTTCTGCACATGTGTGTGCATTTGCATGTTGGCCCTAATGGCCTGGAGGACTTGGAAATGAGAAGCTTCCTGCACACCCAGGCATTCATTTTCTTTTTCTGGGACATTAAGCCCGAGACTCAACAGAGAAAGAGCACCATGAGCAGCACAACACACACACTTTTCATGAGGCAGAACCATAACCTCGACATAAGGACGACACGGAGCTGAAAAAGATGTCGTGTGTGTGTGTGTGTGTGTGTGTGTGTGTGTGTGTGTGTGTGTGTGTGTGTGTGTACTGGCTTATTTATTTAGTTGGTCTTTCAATGAGAAATGAGCCCGACTAACCATGCAGAAGCATTCTGGAGCAGAATTGTTAAGTAGCACCACAGGAGGACCACAGGATAAAAAAAAAGAAGAACAGAAGAAGAAGAGAATGGTATTTTAAAGAAGAAAACCACAGCCTGGGGGTATTTATATTTGTGTTGGGTTTCTCTGAAGCAGACCACCGTTTGTCGTTTTTTGGGTGTGAATGGATCCCTGGTGTGGACGTCAGTGCTGAGAAATCTTTGTGGTGACACAACATGGACCAACAGCAAGATTACATGCTGCAACTCTTAAGTCTATAAAAATGGTTGGAACCAGAGAATGTTTGACTTTTTTGCTTGATAAATTACTCAAATGTTCAATTTATCATCAAAATAATTGTGACACATTTTCTGCCAATCAAGAAACTAATCAATTAATCATGGAGTTGTTGCCAGTCACTGAAAACAATTTTGGATTGATCTTCCTTCCAAGTAATAACAGTAACTTTTTAAAGTACTTGGTCTTGTGAACATTAGTGATTTTAAAGGGGCATTGCACTGATTTTACACATGAAGTCCAGTTTATAGGTCACAGGAAAGACTACTCAAATTGTTAATGTAACTATATAATGTCTGTGGCTCTTGGGGAAGGCTTTTCAATATATCCCTGATGATGAAAGGCGCTATTGAGTTGCATAATAGGATATAAAGGATTCATTGTTTTGGGAGCATGGGAAAATGGGCTGTGAAGTGTGTAGAAGAAACTACAGTGGCCATGAAACCCACACAAGGCCGTATCTACAGGCAGTGTTTGGTTTGTCCGTCCTGGGCTACTGTAGAAACATGGCAGTTAAACATGCAGGTCTCCATGGAGGGTGACCTTCAGCGTCTGTAGATAAAAACAGCTCATCCTAAGATAACAAAAACACAACAATTCCTATTTTCAGGTGATTCTACTCTAATGAAAACATAACTATAAATATAATATTTCATTTCTACCGATAGAGCCTCCTGAATGTTACACACTGGACGGTTGCCTTTGTCATTGTACAAATGAGATATCTGATGTACCGTGAAGTTCTGGCTCATTTTGTTGCAAGTTTCTTCGCCGTAGACCCAAATGTAGATGACACTAAGTCAGAAAGAGGTCTTCTAGTGCAGCTACAACAAGGTTTTATAGCTGAAAAATGCTTTACAATGCAACACTGACAAATGCTTCTTTACAGTCTCTCAGATTTAAACACCATTCAACAATCATGGGGGGGGGATTCATTGCAGGAGAAGCACACGCACCAATCTCCACTGACAGCAGCCTCATTTGTCCAGAAAGTAATGCAGCTATGAGGCCTGTTGTGCTCTGAGGCTTGCTTTATCTTGACTGGTACATCTTGCTGTCTTGCTTTTGTTATCGCCAATGCCGTCGCTCTTTCCACTGGCACGAATAACAACACACTTAACACAACAAGATCAGAAACGTTCTATTGGGGGCTTTGAAAAGGAGTCAATGCCAGCTATATGTAGTAAAGGAAAAGTGGATGTATTAAAGAGGTAAATTACAGCACAAAGCTTTCTTTTATCATGGTTTTACCTGTAATGTCAGGTTTCTGTGGCATGAAGAACTGATAGAAGGTGGGCTCCGACAGACCCTTGACGTTGCGCGCTGTGATCTCCACTTCATATCTCGTGTTCCACTGCAGCGGCTGCAGCATTGCAAAATCGTTTGCCCCTGGAACTAGCTTGGTCATCCACTGTTCCTCTTTATCCTGAAAGGAGAGAAGAGGGGAGGATAGGAGAGCAATGTAAAAAAAAAGCATACATAACTTTAATCAGTGCCCTACGTTTCATTTTTGTCTGCGAGCATCAAAGGAGAGCTGAGGAAGCGTTGTTTTATGTGATAAACAACAGCTTACCCTGTGTGTTTTTAATCTGGGGATTTGGAGAGTTACCGCAGTCAGAAATTGAGTTGCAGTTGTAAAACGCCTACGCAGATGCACTTGCATAAGTAAAGAGAAAGGGTAATCCTCTGTTTTTCATCACGTTCACACAAGTTCTCAGATACCTTTCTGTTCCTTTGTGGCTGCAGCCTTTTCTCTCATTTCTGCTTCCTTATATCACTCTTCCTTTCTTTCCTTGCTTCCTTGATTTCTCTTCGTCTCGAGAACAAGTGCAAACAAAGGACTGGAAAGTGAAGAGTCAGGCTGCGAGCTATACATTGAGAGCATGCCAAATGTACTGTCTGCTTGCCATCATTGCCTCCTTGGCACCTTTTCCTCTCAATGTAAGAGGACAGATTTCAAAATCGGCTTTTATAAATTCAAGGTCTGAGGTGCAAATGTATGTAACACTTGTGGCCAGGTGACTATGATGTGTCTGTGTGGGTGCAGATTCAAGTGTAGTCTGTCTGCAAGTTCATCCCCTCTGCATGCTCCTCCATGATGGAGCAGTTTTGTGTTCCTGATGCCAGACAAGGCCGTGAGATTACTGGGGTGTGAAGCTGGCTTCCTGCTCGGCCTTCAAAAGCCTCTCAGAGACTTCCTCAGCCTGTTTTCCACAGCATGGAAAGTATTATTCAAAATCATTGTCACTTTTTCAATGAGACAGAGAAATGGCTACACATTAGCACTGGGGAGATAGGAGATTTGGACCAGCTCAAATCCACTTAGTCCTGTGGTGAGTTCTTGTACGAGTGCCATCTATTCTCCTTCCTGGCTTCATCTCACTCGCTAGCCTTATCTTGTGAGTTTAAGCTGCTTTTTGCTATTTTACACACAAAAAATCAACTACTTAAATGGATGAGTGAATTCTGAGAGCTTGTGTGTACTCTCATTTAAAACATGAATTGTAAGTGACACAAGGATAGAAAAATGGAGATTCTCAAGCAGAACATTATTCATTTTGCCACCAACGCACCCACTCAACTCAATCGACAGGAACCTATTAAGCTTGTGAGTCACACGCACTCCATTGGTAGGAAAATGCATTCCTAGTGTTGCATCCTGTGTCGCTATTGTGTCAAACACAAAGGAAAATCTATGATTGTGAGGTGTTTTGGTGTCTTTTATGTGAGACAAAATTGCATACTTCCAAATTAAAGAAAATGTGTGCTTTGAATTGTAAGCTCCTCTTTTAAAAGCGTTGTAAGTGGCGGCCTGGCTTTATTCGGAGTAGTGGAATATTGAACTCATTGGTATGATATGTTCTGTCTTCTTCTAATCTTTATCATTTTCAACATATGATATAGTGAAAAGGACAGAACCAACAATGTGTGTATGCTTCTCTGAATACTTTCAGACACTACTCTTTCAAGCCCACTGGTTCCTCCCTAAGATGGAAATCTTTGGAGGAACACATGTAAAATTTAATCTTTAAGAAAGGCAAACTTATTTTCCTGAAACAGCTGGGCTTTTTTCTCCAGTAAGAGTAAAATGTGCATCTGTTGGGGATTATTTTCAGCTGCAGATTAATACAATAATGCACTAATAAGTATTTACAGCAGCAGGATGGTGTATGTGGGACTGAAATATACTACAGTTCCCACGTTAATTGCAATAAAGCAGTCGTTTTCCAACGGTGGGGCACAGAGCCACTGCAGGTGAGGCATGGATGACCAAGGGAACAGTATGAGTATGTTTTATGTAGGGGAAATAAACAAACGAGTTTGCTGATGCTATTGCACAGACCTTTTCACTGAAATTACACCTGAATTCTTTTTTATTAGTTTTGGTTCCCCAATCCTTGTTAATGATTACTAATCAGTAAGTGTTGGTCATGAACTTTTTTTTGGCACACCAGAAAAAGTTTAATAACCACTGCAATAAAGAAACATGTAACAATGCAACTCATTAATGTGTTTTTTGACAACAATGGAGCTCCATGGCACAGAGGAATAAGACAAATCAGATACTATTACTTATACAAATACTTATCAATCAATTATCAATTATCAATTAATAGTTGGCTTTGGTCTTGACACAAAGAAACATAGAGAATATTGTCATACGTTCACACGTTCAGTCGATGATTCATCCTTGTAGATCATTTGAAGATTAAGGGTTTAACACTCTGTTTCCCTCCTTTTTCTTTTCTTATCCTTTTCTTTCTAACTTTATCCTGTCTTGGCTTGAACTCAACTCAAACTAAGTTGTCGAGACTTGATTAAAGGACCAGCGTGTAGGATTTTGTGGCATCCAGCGGTGAGATTGCAGATTGTCCCACAACTGAAAGCCCTTGACAGAACCAAGCGCAAAGAAAAAACTATAGTTGCTGTGAAATTTGCGGAAAAACACAAAAGGCACTATCTCAAGCCAGTGTTTGGTTTGTCCATTCTGTGCTACTGTAGAAACATGTTGGTGCAATTAAAACATAGTGATGAATATTATATTCCATTTCTGCCAATAGATCCTCCTAAATGTTACGCACAACAGACTCTAAGTTACTCACAGTCTTGTACTTCACTATGTACTCCACGATGGGCATCCCTCCATCGTCCTGCTTGACCAGCCCCAGTCTGTAAGCCTTGCCCATTCCTCTCTGCCCGTGGACCGCCGGTGGACTCGGCTCTCCTGAGGGAGACATGCAGGGAGGAAGCTTGAGCAAAACAATGTGTCTTTTTTCTGTGAGAGGATGAGAGTGTGTGGCTGTGTGTGCATTCCCGAGGAGGGGAGCAGGTGGCAATGTGAGATATGAGATAAGGATGCAGTACAAGGAGAGAGACGGTTTTAAGCTGAATTAAATTCATATTACAAGGCAACTCCCACTGCCTGGCTATAACTAATGTTGACTGGAGCTTCTTATTATTCACTGTATTTTACTAATTGGGTCTTCTTTCCAACATTCCTTCTCAGTAGCTGAACTGCTGTATAATATTAACAGTGGAAATACTTTTTCTATGGCCTTGCCCAGATTTACTACAATCCTGCTGTGCCAGATTGCCAGAATATATAAAATGCTTATCATGAAACCCCTGCAGTATATAATTTTTAATGCAGCAGTTTTACATCAAGACACAAATTTGACAGGATCTATTGGTAGCTCCAATAATCTGGATACATATCACTGAAATACGAGGAGGCTGTAACCACCTCAAATTGCAGCATGTCTGCTTTTCTATCACACAACTTTATTTTATTAAATGAAACAGGACTCAAATATCTTTCTCATATTCATCCACATTTTTATAGCTGTTATCTGCGTTTAGATGTTTCTGTAATCTGGAGTTTGCACTCGATCATCAACATCTGTGACAGACGAGGATGTGCCAATATTAACAATTAACTCTGTCTAATTGCTATGACACCATTGTAGTAATGAATACAAGTGATTATCACTGGATACATATGTAAGTGGCTATTAAAATACGTCTGAAAATCCCTTCTGGTTCGGATCCTAATGAAGCTCTTATTTTGAAGAATGTGCCATGAAAGAAGAAAAGACTTACGGATGGGTAAAGTCTGGAAGGTCTCCGTGTGGCTGAACTCTCCCTGACCCTTTCCGTTGACAGCTGCCACTCGAACTTCATACGTCGTGTTGGGCTCCAGCCCCGTCAGCACCACTGTCGCTGGAGAGAAACAAGAGTTCATATCACCTGGAAATGTGTGCCGGCCGTGAATCACGTAGATGGCAGAGCCAATCACTAAAACAGCAACTTTCTCAAGTAAGTATAGACATTATAATGCACATAATAATAAACAGCACAATAAACTGCCGGTTACATGTAGAGCTGCCACATTTTCAATACGTCATCAAGGTTAACAACCACTTCTGTCATGCACTCCTGATGAATGGAAAATCACAAAACCTGATTGTGGCACGGCACACGAGTCCCAACTCTATTATTAACCTGTTTGATAAGAAACTTGACATAAGTCAGTTAAGGATGTTAACAGATTGATTTTATTTAGAAACTTCTCTGGGCTTCTACTTCTGAACACTAGATTTTAGTTTTGGAGATATTTGAGAAGAGATGTCCTGTTTCCATATGAGGATTTCCTCATGCACAAAGCCAGACATACGGTATAAAGAAATGGTTTCCCCAGGTGTGGAAGAACTTGACTGGCCTGACCTTAAACCCATACAACACCTGTTGGATGAACCGGGGCCAACAAAGACCTTATTGGCCAAGATTGAGTGTGTTTCAAACTAACTCGTTCATGTAAAGTTACTTCTGAAAGCAACATTTTTTCTTGCTTTTTCCAATGACCACCCTTAAAAGGTTGGGCAAAAAGCGTGCTGTCAGGAGGTTAGGCTTTCAGACACTGTACTACCATCCAGTAAGTACTTTGGTTGAAGCATACTGTCACCTTAATTCTTCGACAATCACATATGAATATAATGTGTGAGAGTCCACATACCATGTTCTGTATTTCAGAGCTATACTAAATCTATCCAGATCTATTACTTTTTACATTTTCAATGCAGTTTTTGTGATATTTATTCTAATCTGGAGTTTGTTCTGTGCTCATTGCAGAATAACATTTTTAGCTGTATTCCTATAATATAACTTAAACCGAGTGGCTGCAGCACTCTGGTAAAATACTATGAATTAACAGAATTAAGTTAAGATTATTGTAAATAGTGTAAACATTCCATTTAAGGAAAATAAGAAATTATGTTCACCTATATGAATATCGAAAAATAAATTCTAATAAACAAAGTATCCAAAAACTAGACTGGAGTGTGAATCCCACGAGATCCGAGGTCATTATCAAAAAGGATATTGCAACCATAGCGATAGTGAAAGCAGCGTAATCTATTGAATTCATGCTGTAAATGACATCGATTATTGAGGAAAACAGGAAATCTCATTATCAGAGCACAGTACAGATTCCTGTTTAAATTCCGCAGCCTCTTTACATAGCCGTCACTATTCAGAAAGGCAGCAGAGAGTCGGCAGTGTAATGAGCTTGAGTGAAACTTGTGGTTTTTATCAGTCTGCACAAATTAAATACTTGAACGGTAATAGGTGCTTTTGCAGTTCTTTAGTCCTGGAACTGAAAACAAATTTTGCAATTTTCAGCAGTGCTGGCTTACTTTCCAGGCTATAAGCAGACATTTCAATTTGGGCAAAAGCATTCAAATGAAACGAGTCCAGGCATCTCATTATATTGAAGAGTTTATTGTATAAGGATCTTCTACTGAGGGTATCTGAAGTGGCTTTTGATTATATGATGCCACTTACTAGTTTGTAATTAGTTCAGCTCACAGTTTTAATATTTTGTCCTAATCTTCAATACAGGGTCAAATTTAACTAAACAGGCAGGAAATTAAATTTACTATCAAGCTTTATTTGTCAAATTCTAGTCCCTTTCTTTTTTCCTTCATGCATATCCCTGTCTTTACTCTATAAGTGCAGTATATTTTCACATATACTACTACTGATTAGTATTCACCTCACTGCATCTCCATATTGTAATTGACTCTGAAATGAGGGATATTAGTGATAAGCCCTTCAGGTTTGTCAGACCTGCTTATCACTCGAACATTAGTCCTCCAGCTTCCATCTTCTATTAATCCATCCATCTTTCCATCCTTCAGCTCATGGTGTACTTTCCACCAACAGGCTCAGAAATCAATTTGGAGCTGTGAAGCATAAGAAGAGGAGGAGCGTGTTCTTTCGGCTCAGACGAGTTGCGGCACTCTCCCGGCGAAGTGTTTGAGGTTCCGTCATGATCCAAAAACATCTCAGGGCAGAGGCTTTGGCCATGTCTTCTACTCATGCTTGATTGGTGTCGTTCGATTTGTGGTGGCTTTGGCAGACAGAAATGCTGGACAACACCTGATAGGACGTTAATCTGGCACGATGAGGCCATACCTCGCTGGTCTAATAAATAAAAGCTGTGAGTTCCGAACTGTGTGACAAAATTAAAAACATTTCTATGTACATGTTTATTCGTCATAGTAGACCTTGTTTATTGAGGGGTCATTAAAGTATTTATTTATATGACTGGGCATACAAGTAATTGCTATTATCTGAGCATTAGGATGGAATTTGACACTTTAATTCTTTCCTAATTTTTCAGGCAGCCATTGGTTTTCACTTAATTCCACATGGTTTAAAGAACTCTTCACAGACTTGAGCTTTAAGTGTGTGAGTAAACATTAAGTTAAATAAATATAATTTCATAGGGACAATTTCAGTACAAAGTAGTTCCAATGAAAACTATTAAGAGTTAGATTTGTGGATAATTTTGAGTAACCTTTAAAAGGTCCAGTGTGTAACAATTAGGAAGAACATTAGTCACCTGAAAATTAAAATGTTTGTGTTTTTTCGCAACACCAAGAAATGTAACTGAATCCCACACACTGGACCTTTAATATTTTTAAAATATTATACCCATTATTGTTATTTGGTAATGTAAATTTAAACAGGGATTGATTTGGATATTTTTACTTACTGTTACCTGTCAATAGTATTGTAATTCTGAGAAACGTGCACAGACAAAAGTGTCAGACATACAAAAATGAATAGAAATCAGTGGCTGTCTGGAAAGTTCTGAAATACAAGTTCTTATTGCAAAATAATCAGCTGTAATATAAAGCGTCCATGGTCTGTATTTAATGGTCTAAATCATACACAATCTTTGGTTTATGAACTCAGAAGGATCTCTGTGATGGTTTTTCAATGTGAGCTTTTGTTCCATGGAACAGAAAAAGTGGAATTTATATTTAGATAATTGCTTTTAACCACTCCACATATGTATAGAAAGAGAAAAAGAAACCTTTGCAAAGAGCAGAGCATGTGAACAGACGAATGAATCCTTTCTTCCTCTATTGATCTGACGCATTTAAGAAAATGGAGATGGAAACAGACATCTGTTCAAGTGGACTTAATGGTGTCCATCTCCAAAGCATGAAGATGTTCCTTTCATTTTTCACAATAAGTGCATAATACATAAAAAAAATTGATTTAACTGGTATGACTACAACGCTACTCACTCTGGACACTGTGTGACTTGACATCCCTCCAGTCCTGTGAGCCAACCTCCTTGTACTGGACCAGGTAGTAGCTGATGGGCACGCCACCATGCGAGTCCGGCTTCATGAAGGTGACGGTCGCCAAGCGCTGGGAAACGGCTGAAAGACGCACTGAGTATGGATTTGACGGTACATCTGAAGAGACAAAATAATGACGTGGGTCAAACACACACAGCATTTGGATTGCTTCTCTTCAAAAGCTGGTCGGTATTGCCTGAACCACTTACTTGGTTTCAGAAGCTTCTGTTAATCAGAAAATCCACAAACCTTTATGAATGAAAGCAAGACGGCACTACAATGTACAGGTAAAGAGCTACTACTGTACTCCACTCTACTTTTAAATTATAAACTTTATTGTCATGCAACAGCTACAAACAAACTGAAGATGAAGGTACTTTCAATGCTGCGGACAGTACTCACTGTGCCTTCTACCAATTACATCACTGTCATCCACATTATCAACCTAAATATATAAATTATTGCTTTAATAACTATAACCCTTGAAAGCAATTTCCCATAAATTACTTGATATTAAAAGTAAGGTGGTGCATCACTCTGCTGCATCTCCCATTTGTCATTGGACTTGTTTCAGCAAACAAACAAACATGTTTGCTATTTTTTCAGTGTTTTTCACTTCAAATTCAGGTACTTACTGGTGGGCCTATTTATATCAAACTACAAATGTACTCACATGCAAAGACATTTCAAGAGGTTTTTACTCAGAAGACATGAATGAGACAGGAAATGAAAATTAGTTCTTGCAGCTTCCACTGGAGATCATCTCTCATCTGAGTCATTATATATTATTATTATATTATATTTGTATTATTGACTCAAACTTTTACACCAATGTGTATGTGCGTGTTTCCTTGTGTGTGTGTGTGTGTGTGTGTGTGTGTGTGTGTGTGTTTCCTTGTGTGTGTGTGCGTTTGTGCAGAACTGCAAGTGTCAGAACAACTTCCAAAACACATTGTTTCCTGCAAGACTACATATTAGGTCAGCTTTTTGCTCACTACTTTTCTCCTTAGCCAGAGCAATTCAATCTGCACTAAAGATAATTGGACTGCACTATTGTGTATTAGCCTGCGCTACCGTAAATTAGGGGGTACTTCAGTAAATAGCGAGGGGTATGGTAAATCAGCTGGCACTATTTGAGATTAGGCTAGGCTGAATAGGGGTTGGGAGTTGTAGTAGAATTTATCTTCCTGAGAATTGCAAATAAGGCTATTGCCATTAGTAGAGAGGTAGAGGGTTACAAAGCAGTTAAGAGTCATAGTGAGAGCAGTGATTCAAAAGGTGTGGGATTCCTGACTCCACACAATCTGGACTTGAAATTAAGTCACCAACTTCATTAGCTCAGGTAAAAGGGCAGCACTATAGTGGGTGCACACTCACCTGCCTGGGCCAGAATGAACTCCTGGTATCGAACTCCAATGTTGTTTCTGGCTGTGCAGTTGTAGCGGCCGAAGTCCCTGTCGGACATAGGAGTCACCTAGGATGGGAAGTTAAATGGCTTATTACAAAATAATATATTTCTTACATATCTGTATTGTTATTCATGCAAATAGTAATTCATTTCTGCTTCCATGGACAATGGTGGTGAATGGAGTTCTTTTGTGATGCTCACAGAAGTCACAGAAATAACATTTAACGTATCATGAATCAAGTATTTTCTAATAACAATGGGTCAAATGATATGTGTAATATGAGAGGTGTTACTTGCAGTTAAGAACTGTAGTTAAGAATTTTAGCACTAATCGTGGAGAGCAATGAAAAGTGTTGTGTGAACTTTCTCCTGCTTTGTAAGACAAGGTCTCAGACTCATACTGTGAGGGGCATTTTCTGACGAACATGTTTTTCCCTTAATGATTCTGTTTGTGTTTTTATGATGTTGCTGTTGTTCACATGCTTTATCCTTATGTACAGATGCACCCACCATGTTAAGTTGTTTGGTAATTGAATGTAAGTTGCCCATTGAAAGGGGTTTAGCATGGCGGGGTTTTGTCAAGAGTGAGATCATGAGTCAGACACATGACATGACGTGACATATAAAGCTTAAGAGAAGGAAAAATACATCTTAATATAAGAACATGTCGTGGGTGATTAGAGAGAGGTTGAATAATAACTTGTGTTTCCTGTTGTGTGAATAAGGAACTGCCTTTCCTCAGTAATACTGCTGAATCCATTTGCAAACAAATAAAATGCAGACAAAGGGATTCATTTTTAATATTACGCCTCGGGGTATTTAATTGCCAACTCTCACCTGCACGAGACAAGAATTTTTTTCCCCCAACAGCACTACCCACCTCCAGCACAGACTTGCCCTCTGCGCTGTGCACCCGTGTGTTGGCGGTTCCCTCTGCAGAGATGGTGAAGCGCTCTCTCCTCCACAACATGGTGGCAGGCGGGTTGGACATCACGTCGCAGCTTATGTTCACTGGGTTCCCCTCCCATGAGTAATAGATGGTGTGGTTGGTCAGGAACTTTGGTATATCTGTCCAAAACATGGAGATATTACCTCAGGCACTTGCCTCATTTATATGGTTAATCAGCTTTTTGCACTAAACCAGGACCTAAATTGCTAAAAGAGTAATTGCTGGTGGGTCTGGAATTTTTGGCAGCCAATTAAACACTCAAATCAAAGGTGAAGCTGAGCTGGATGATCAAAGACATAAAAATGACTTGCTGAGGCTTAACACACACATTCCTCAAAGGGAGAAGAAAAAGCATTTCATTAACACTTCCCAAACTCCCTCTGCAGTGTTAAAAAGAAAAACTTTAACTTAATTGAAGCCACCTCATGCTGGGGAAGGGAAGAATCTGCATTACGATCATCTCCCCAAGAATAAAAATAAAGGATGTAAACAGAAGCTCATTTGCCCCAGCAAATAGGAAGGGCAGTAATGGACGATCGCAGCGGCGAGCTCTCGTGCAGATTTCTTTTGGCCCAGTCAGCCCAGCTCAGTCAGAGAGGCATTATGGTTGTTTTATGCTCGCTTGCAGGATTCCATTAAAGAGATTGATGCCTGGCTCTCTGTCACAGCCGAGGACACGTTATCCCCCCGCAGCCTGCAGTGACTTAGTAAATGAGTTCATTAGTTCGGTGGCAATGGCTGGCTCAGCCCCGCCACACTCAGACTCACAGCCTGTGTCTTTCTGCAGAGTGGGAACCAAGTCTGAGAGCGAGTTGTCAGCTGTGGCTCCAGCAAAACAAGTTTACAGTATAATGACAGCAGCAACTTTGCTTCATGGTTGGAGAGTGGGTGCATGCATGTGAGATTTATTTTTTCTACACAAGGATGCCATCAAACTTTTTTTTCCAGAATGTCAACTTTTCAAAAACTATGCAAAACAGGTTTTGAAGGGAATCCATGAACCCAAAAGTCACCTCAGCCAGAGGAGGAGAAAATTGGTTTCCACATGACGACAGAGATAGAGTGTTCATTTTTTTCCTGACTGTCTCTCCACATTTATTTATTTGTCTGCCCTCTCCCTTTGCTGTTCCTCTGAGCTTCAAGGTGGAAACACTACTACCAAAAATAAAAAAAACTCTTTCCACTGGTCTCTTGCTGGCAACAGAGCCGCTCTCATAATGAAGCTAATCATTTCGAGGCAAAAATGGAAATGTTTGCTTCAGAGCTCATTAGGCAGGGGATAGCCCGCCCCGAATAACCCCAAACAACCAGCACTGAGGAATGGGTGCGCTCGTTGGGAAGTAGGGGAACTGTCAGCGGGGGAAAACGAAAAGCGATGCATGATATCCTCTCGCTAATTAACCCTTCTGAAGGCTGTGCGTGGGGTGCAGTGGGTGCAGAGGTTTTGAGGGGGTGAGTTGTTTATAATAATATAATGATCTTCAGAAAGAAAAACAGCCAGTGTGAAAAGAATTATTATTAGAAGTAAGCATGGTTGAACTTTCAAACTCTAAACAAGACTGCAGGGGTTTACCTGTTGCTGATTTGACTGCTGTGTTTCATTTTCACATTAAGGATCTAAAATAGGAGTGGTTGGGGTTATTATATCTATATCAGATGAGCAGGGCTCCATACAGTAACGCTCTTATTAATTTTGCCCACAGACAATGTTACACAGCTGGTTGCTTGAACGTTTACATCTCATGCAACAAAGCAGCTACATAGAAAAGAACCAGTTCAAGTCAAAGAAACATGACTCTGTGCATGACAACTCAGTTATGAGTGCCACAGGAATTTGTTTCCTGTGCCGTTAACCACACCAAGGCTGTGATGTTGAATTATTTTTGGGGATTTTAATCACTTAATGAGCAATATATTATGCACCAGTGTTCGTCTTTAACACTTGCACTATTGTCTGTTCAAAATAAATAAAAAGAAATGTATCCTTGACTTCTTTTACATCCCTATAATACACACAGAGATAATACAACTATTTGATTAATTAATTGCAACTGTTATTGTTGTTAAGTTATTTGCCATTTTCCAGTAGGAAAAGAATCTATGACGTTGCATTGTACTGAGGTAAGAGTCAATCTTGTGGTCAGTTTCAGTGGTTAAGGGGTAATTTTGTGTGATGCACTTTTAGAATATGTGAAAACTGGATGTTAAATTGCTCTAATATCAGTTTAGGATCAATTCCACAATTACGGCGAGGTGTTTTTTGCATCTCATGGGCTTAGCAGTGTTTAATGTCCTTAATAAACTCCTGTCCAAGTGTCAATAGTGAGGTTGTTGCTTCTCTTTTATCAATATAGTTAAAGGGTTTGTTAAATGTACAAAATGGTAATAGAAGTCGTAGAACAGTACAGTACAGTACAGTACAGTAGAACCACACAGGTGTTTTTACTTAAGTTGCCTGATCAGACCTCTGCTCAGGACAGTGTGTGTGGTCTTATCAGCAGGAATAACTGGAAACAGCTGTGTGAGGGCACTGAAACACACTCACACTCAATGTCCAGGTACATGCTCTTCTGATGACCTCCGATCCTGCTGAGTGCTTCGCAGTCAAATCGACCCAAGTCGGTGAGCCTCACGCCGCTGATGGTCAACACCGACTTGCCGTGACGTCCGCGGACTTCAAAGCGTCCGTCCTGACTCTGGAGACACATATAGGACTTATTATTAGGCATGACATCAACATACAAATAGCTCCATATGTCTGTGAAATAATGTCTCACTCGCATCATCACAGTTGATGTTCTTCTGTTCAGACATTCTAGCTGTGAGGTTTTTTTGTGGAACGTTTCGGCAATAAAGAGTTGCTTTAGCATACATATAATTTTCTAACCAGACAGACCTGGGGTGCTGAAACAGGAGGGGATTGATTATAGCACTGAATAATTTGGTGGTAATTTATTTGTGATGCTACATTTGAAGAAAAGGCCACATCCATGCTTACGATCGTGTAAAGCTGGAGTGAGAATTGGTCTATTGAGATATGAAAGTGAATGAACACGGAGCTAAATAAAAGGAAAAAGACAAAAGACAAAGGCTGATCCTATTGCCAAGTAATTTACAGAAAGTTCCTCGTCCAATTTTGTAGTTGCGACTGAATGACAGCCCCTTGATCCATTTTGACCCCCCTTGCAGGCCACTGTCACTTGTCACACAGAGGCAGGGTTAATGCAATAAACTGTCGATTTATTACAAGGTCATTACATCTGTATGAAGACAGATGGTATCAATTTGAAGCAACGGGTCAATTACAGCAGACGAGGCTATCATTCCAGTAATCGACATTCACTCGTAATGAGAAAAAACAGCCCAGGAGCATCCTTGTTGCAGACCCGATATGGCTGTAGCCCCGAGACTGTTACCTAACAGATAACCTTTCTCACCCCGGAGAAACTACTTTTCAGAGGTCCTGTCCATGATGCATCTGAGAGCTGCAGCAGGTTTTGTTTGTTTTTTGTTTTTTTTGATTGTAAGAAGATTTGAAGGTCAGACACACTGGGTAAAATCATTTTAAACAATATTACTTGCTGTCTTTTAAACTTGAAATACTAAATCAGATGATAAATATGACGAAGACCAGCTACAAAAATGTTTCTTTCCTCCGTTGTTTCCTCTTCATGTAAATGTGTAATGAAGAAGTTGGTTTGGCGTTCTCTTTTTGCAGACACGGCATTGGCATGAATGGGAAACACAGTTTTAGTTGGAGGAGTTCTTATTATGCATAGAGTCTGAGAGTGTCGTCGGGTATTTTCAATATAAGTACCCATCAAACGGCACATAGCATACATCATGATGGCAATCTATCCAGGGCTCTCGAAGCCTTCGTGAACTAAAATACATGGCTATCAAGTATAGCAAGAACATACCATGATTGCACTATCACCGCTAGGGAACATTGAAATGGACCGGCTTGTATAACTGGAGACACTTGGTGCTTCTCACTGCAGAAAAACAAGGTCTTTTTTATGAGGGGGCTGCTGACATGGACGTTATATGAACACGATCAGGATAGTAGTTCAGAAGTAGACACACTGCACAGAAGCTTTGTGGCTATAAAACAATATACGTACAAAGGTATATTTATAATTAGTAGTTTAGTATAGTTATACATGAGTTTTTCCCACATTGTTGCACCTTCTAATTAGTCAATTAAGTCAGCTTAGATAAACCGTTTTAATAGAGTAAAAATAGAGGTTATTTAGCTCAAGGCCTGAGGGTTAATGTAGGATTGCATTCAATTTAGTGTTGTGAGTTTGCGTCTAATAAAGGAATTAGAACTTTAAAAAAAACAAAGCTGAGGCTGAGAGTTAAATCAGACTCCCAGTCAGCCTATCTAGCAAAGGGGTAACCCACAATGCCTTGGGAGGTTTTTGTTAGTGGGAAACATCTAACTTGGTGAAGAACCTAGAACCAGCTTCCTGTTAGCTTAGAAAACAGATGGAAACTGCTCTGTCCCGATTTAACAAAATCTACCAACCAGCACTTCAAACGCTTGCTGATTACCTAGTTGTTTCTTGTTTGTTTATTCTTGTTGTCACCGTGAGGTTGCCAGGTAACCAGGTAAAGTCAGGGCTAAGAGATAGTTTGGCACATAATCCCTCGTAAACTGCAATTTGGGTTAATTTTGTTTGCCTTTGGACAATTATGTGACTATCTTGGGTTCTTTAAATGTTAAAGTAAAGTTAAAGTATCATAAACTGACTGAGCTTTTTTTCTTACCACTGTCAAAAATGATCATTTCTCTGAAGTAGTTTCACTTCTTTTCTTTTGACGTGACCAGAGCATTGTCTCTGCACTGGTGAGTTCTTGCATGTATGTTTGTGTGTGTCTGCATTCCCATCTACTTAAGTATATTTGCATATTTATAAGTAAGTCTGTGATATCGGTCTGTGTATGTGTGTGCACATTCTGCACACCTCCTACATAGATTTCCTCAGTAAATCAATTCACATCCAGCCCCTTCCAATGCCCTCCTATCACCCCCCTGCCTCTGCTAATACTCATTATGTGTCTAAGCCTCATAAGCCTCGGCCGTGAGGCCCCCTCTTCTGAATCACACTCTCTTTATGTTGTCACCCGTAGACTGCTTCAGCATTATCCTGTTTAGAATTGCTTATCTTTGCTCTTATCGCTGCTATACTGTCAACCAATGAGGTGAAGCGGCTTTTAGGGGCTCGGTTCTGGTCTCTTTGTGCTGCCACTGCACACTTTGCTTGTTTGCCTCGCCAGCTGAGGTCAATGGGATTGGGAGAGTGTGTGCTGAATAGGAATGCTGAGGAGGAATGGGGTTGATGAGCAAGGAGGAGAGAGGAAATCTTCTAGGAGGGAGCTTCTGAGTCAGGAAATTACTCGCTAACCCCCCCCTCCATCACCGCCACCACCTCTGCCAACTGACAGGGTCTGTCTAGAGACGAACTCAGCCCGTAAAGCGCAGCCTGTTTGATATGCAGCTCTGTCTAACGACAAGGCAAGCGGCCAGACGTGAACACAACAGCGAGTCACATGCACGCCTGTGGACACATGCGTGTTCCTGCAACTGCATGCTAACTTGCACATAATGTAAACACGTGAGCGGTAGCCAACATGGCAGCAGAGAGATTAAAGGAAAGTGAAAGTTGAGGTAATAGAGGAGCAGCTGGAGATGAAAAGAGAAAAGAAAAATATATGAAATCCTATCCCTCTCTGATCCATAAAACCTTATACACGAGAATGTGCATTTACAGTGAAGCCAAATCTGGAATGCAATCTCTCAAATGGGATTATGGAGACTTTTCCTGTGTTATTTTATTCCAAATGCTGAGAATTCAGATATTAAAAATGTCAGCTGTAAATGTCAGCGAGGCTGGAAACACACTGTAGTCTAATTCTGGCGAGCATTGCTTATACTTCAACACTTTGTATTTGCACCACTTTAATGGTTACTGTACCACCTGGAGGGTTCACGAGGTTTCAGAGAAGGAACAACAAAACCTTGGCTAAACATTACTATTATCTATTTTTTTGTGTATTTTTGAGTGCAGTATGCTGCTTTTGTGACCAGGTATTCAATGGAAAAAAAACCAATAATCTCAATAGGTGTGGGAGTCTGTTTTTTAAGGTCGATAAGAGTTTAAATCAACACAAATACACGCCCAAGTTTGACTTCTGAATAGCTCAGGAAAAGGTTAAAACATTCTTTAAAAGTTGTATTCTATTGAACCACATACACCACGTTACCCCAATATGAAATATCAGGGAAATATATAGTCAGGGGTCGCCAGATTAAGAAATAATAGAAAAGGGGTCCCTTAAGGAAAAGGGTTGGGAACCACTGCATTATGTCAACAATCACCTAAGCAAGAATACAGACTTTTAATGTCAGCAGCTCTTCAGCTTTGGGTGTTATGCATGAGTAGAACAGGAGCTACAGTGCAGCTAACCTTGCTTGAAACAATACCAGAGGAGTGAAACAATACCCCCGACTCAGATCCTACCTCGGTTCGTAATTAAATTCCAGGAACTGCATCCCATTATGTTCTCTTACCGAGGGTCAAGGTGTTAGTTGACAAAGAATGAGAAAAATGGAAGCAACATTATGCAGTGAGTAAAACTACGCCCTTTGAAGCTTAATGTCTCTCAACAAGAGAGGAGTGTGTGCAGGCTGGATATGCAGATTGGAGAGCAAATTGAGAGAGGAACATCCTGCCTTAAACCCAAATGACTACGGCCATCCATCACGCCTCGTGCTGCACAAGCCGTGTTTGTCTTTGCGTATGTTTAGGTGTGTTGGGTTTGCACTACGCATTTCCATAATTGCATTTGCTGTGGAAAGAGAAGCACTTACTCTCATTTTCGGCTGTGATTTATCAACCCGAGCGATTCGAGCCAATGCACACATTCATTTATCTCTGCGGTGACCTTTTTTTCCCGAGCAAAAGAACGGCTGCCATCTTTGTTTTTTTTTAACTGCTTCTGTGAAAGCTTCAACCCCTCGCCAGGGAAGCTGTGATGGAAAGTGCATATAATTTTGACATTGATGGCAGCTCGTTCAAGAATAATTACTTTTCCAAGAAAATGTGGCTGCACGTCATCAATTTGTGATTTGTGAGGCTGTTTTTATGGAAGTGAATAATGGATGTTGAGAGAAAAATACACAACAGAGGCCTAGTATCTTCACATTTTTTAAGTTGGATAACATATAATGTCGCAGAGTCAAAGGGAGGTACAGACCAAAGTTCAAACTAAAAGTATTAATGTTTGACCTGAAAACTTCAAGGTTCTTGCTGCTTCTTTGTGCTCAGAGCTAATCAAAATAAATGCGTGCGCTGATTTCCCTTGAGATAATAATCTCAGCAAAGTCGAGAGATTTAAACACTCCCTGTAAAAAACATGGACCAAGGTGAATGTGCACGCTTTCTTTGAAGGCAGCTTTCATATTATAAAACGTCTTTGAGGTATCGTACATCAGTTATAGAAAGCTAATTCACAGAAGTATTGTTGACTTTTGTCTTGCTTTAAATAACATAACAGCTCTACACTCATTAGAAAATGATTAATTGTGAACTCTTGAATGTAAATACAATCACCATCTGCCTTTAGACAGGCCCTGAGCCACACTGCTAGCAATATATGACTAACTGCAACATTTAATATATGGCAGATGGGAATGATTGTCAGCTTTTATTTTTATGAGGAAATATACAAGTAATTACCTTTTAATGTCAGCTACTTCTTTTAGTACTCAATCAGAATAAGCACAAATAGTCCAATGTTTTCAACATAAATAAAAGCAATGACATTAATTAATGGTCACTATAAGAACAGAAACATAAGAAAAACATATCATCTGTACTGCTGTAAATTAGTTTAATGCAACATCAATTTAAGTCATTTTTAAATTGTAACTCCAGTTAAATGATTTTGTGGTCTTCTGTGAATTGAGGTAATTTTTGGAGATCTTGGGAACTCACTAAATACCACGCACGCTGTCGCCATGTTTACATTGGAAACAGTAGAGGCAGTGGCAGCAACCACTCACTGTCTGAAAGTACCTTAACTCCTTTGTTGATGATCATCAGCCTCAAGCAATCAGACACATAAGCTCCCAGCTCATGATGCTGATGCCAACATGTGACCACCACAGAAGCAGGGAGATGAACGCCGACATTGACAACCGAATTTAGTTTTACAATTCTTTGCATTTGTTGTATTGTACACACCTATGAATATTATATTCAATTTCGGATAATAGATCCTCCTCTTACATGTTACACACAATAAAAGTATAAAGTGACGTAAATAAGTAAAATAGAAATAGTGAAGTCAAGTACAAGTACCTTGAACTTGTGCAGTACAGTACTTGAGTAAATGTATGTATGTTTTTTCCACTACTGTAAATCTCAGGGGAAATCAGCAGGAAAGCATGAATAAAATATCTTTTGTACACAGACTTTCCTCTAATCAAATGTTTTTTTCTGAACATCTGTGAAATACAAAATGACTCAAAAACGAAATCACTTGTTTTGGTCGAACTATTAACATATTTTGGACCATGTGGAAAATATGTTTTTTTAATTCAACATGTTATTAATTGTACTGGTGTGTTTTCTAGATCCATAAATAAATCAAATCAGAAATTCTCATTCTTGTAAGTAGTTGTGCATGCATGCTGTACGATGGTGCACACAAACACAGAGCCAGATGGACTTTCTGGCAGTTTCTACCTTGTCTCCGTCAACGAAGGTCTGGCCATCCCTGGCTCTCCTCCAGGAAATGTCGGGCAGAGGCTCGCCGTCAGCCACACAGGAGATCATGGCGGCGCTGCCCTCTACGGCTGTCACGTTTTTCAGCTGGGTGATATGGGGCTGGACTGGAGGCCACAGAGGACGAGGGGGGAGGAGGAAGTGAATAAGAGAAAGAAAAAATAATTAGATAAGTGAGTAAAGTAGAATAGATTGAAAGGAGGGGGAGAGGTGTGAGGGAGCAGGGTGGACTGAGTAAGTAAAAGGGTGAGCAGGTGAGAAACTGTCAAAGATCTATCTCATACGGGAGGGGAGATGAAGCCGATGGCACGAGGTTTAAATACAGAGCTGATGCATGACTTTGGTACTGACAGTCTAGGCCAAGATCATTTATACGCCGCAGTCGTACTCAACAGTTTTGGCGTAGCGGGAAGGCGTGTCCTCTGGCCCATTTTGTGCAGATTCCTTGACCTAGATGATAACACAAAAACTGACTTTGCTAAAGTTTTTAAGAACAAAACCTCTCCTTCAGTGTGCATTCCACTTTTTTTTGTTTTACATAAATATAGATTTTTCTGTCGTGGAGGACGCCTCTCCAGTGAGTGAGACGATGAGCGCTGCAAAGCGTGCTGTCGGGAGGGCTGCTCCCCGTTCGCCTCCTCCTGATAAGATGCTGTTAGCAAGCCCTGTAAAGCCATGCATGTCAAGGGCGCAGAGCATGTCACATGAATCATGGATTGCTTCTTTTTCCCCCACACACACTGCGCTGAAGTCCTTAACAGGGTGCTTGCAAAGTAGCATGGCATAAAATCCAGAAGGAAAAGGGAAGTGGAGGGAAAATAGTGACTTCTGTACTGGAGGCTTTTAACACCGCCCGGGGGGAGATCTGGAGATCAACTCCGGGTGGAGGAGCCATCTCGAGGGGTTTCAGGAGCTTGTTAAAACATGGGGTCACACAAACATACAAACAGATGCACACACACACACACACACACACACACACACACACACACACACACACACACACACACACGTATTACTACCTGCAAGGGTCTTCAGTGAACAGACCAATGTTTTAAGAACAGAGCCTTTCCTAACCACTATATACAGAGCTGTGATAGCAATAATAACTCTAGCTTGCCTTTAATCCTTTTCTCTAAAAGTGAAAATATCCTGTTTGAAGGATTAAGTTAAAACAAAACCTCCAAATATACTGTTCACTCCATTTACATACATAATCATATAGTCCAGTACAGCACCACACCACCCACTACAAAGCCTCAAAGATAAACAAAGTAGAAATATCTAGAAGAGAGCATTGCGAAAGAAGAATTCATTCAAGTTGTTGCACAGGATTATATCAGATTGTAGTGTTATTAAGTGGCCAGTTAGTGTATATCAGTATATATGTTCACACACTTTCTCCACCAAATAGCATCAACAAGGTATCTACTGTAAAATGCAGCTCCACTAAAACATACAAACTAAACACAAAAACACTGTTACTGTATTCAATAGGTATGATGGAAACCCACAAAAATAAGCCCCAAATCTCAACAAATATGATTTAAGCTTTTAAAATAAACAACAATTTCAGTAACAGAACTAACAAAAACAAAAACACAAAAAAAAGTTATTCAGTCAACAACTTAGTTCTTAAATGTTCCTAAAACAAGTTAACCTGATTTAATAATTTTAAACATTTCAACTTCACAACAAACCAGCTTACTCTGAACATCATCTACAACCAAGTTCTTCATTATAGTGCAACAATGAGCCTGACTCTCGAAAGAAAACTGCAGCGGGAACAAGTTTTAGGAAATTAAAAAGTTTTTCTTGTGAGAAAAATAAGCTTTAATGAGACTAAATGACTTGTTGAGATGGTTTCTGCAGAGAGGAAGATGTGAGGAGCTTTATACATGATCATCCACATCTATTAAAACTTCACTTTCACTCAATAATACAAGACAAATACACATTCAATGCCCAGACCCACACACACATACACAGATAAAACTGTTAATAGTGCTGAGACCGGTCTGAACCAGTTCTTCATCATCACCTTATCTGCAGCCGTTTTGCCCCAGATGCCCTTCATCATGCAAATATTAAATGGAATATGTCTCATTTATCAAGCATGGTGCAAAAACCACTCTGCAGGGAACATTATTAATAACGCATTATCTAAAACATTTCAACTCTAAATGGGAAGGAACTGAGAAGCATTTGTGTGCTAAAAGATAAAAATCCAGAATTAATTTGACCTTCCAGGAGTATTTTTACACAATTGAGTTTATTCTTTTCAGGGTGATGTTTGAAGTTTCTTCTTAACACAGTATAATTAAAAACAAGAATATTTTACTTTAACTTTTGTTAATAACTATAATTACACTGGATTATATTAATTATAAGTATTGTCATAATTATACTTGTAAATGTTGTATTTAGTAACCTCGGAGTGTCAGTCCTGACACTAAAAAAAAACAGGCTTCATTTTGCTCTTAACCCGTGAAAATGCCATTAATGCTGTCAGTGTTAGAGCAGAATGTGACATAATGACATAAGAGAGGCCTTTGACAATAGAAATATATATAAATACAGTTTTGGTACAATTTAAATCTCAGTTGTTGGCTAATGATAGACTAAGGAAGCTTATTTGTAATATTTACATTAGCATTTCTTAGCTGTTTATAGACAGTTTATTCCCCAGTTGCTGCTATCTTCTGCAGCCAAACAGCATTTTCATTCCCCTTAGCAATATTTGTCATTACATAAAGCTCTTATCCCACACACTGACAGGTTTTAGAAAACAAAATATGACCGGATCTGATAATGATAATGTGTGTATTTGTTGTTTCAGCTGTACAGATTCACAAAGCAAATGTCAGCATAGATTATCTCCTGTCATCCCTGATTCGACTCTACAAAGTTTAATGTGTATAACAGAAAGAAAGCCACCGTCAGACAGTCTTATATTATCTATATGATCAGTCTCTACATTTCTATTTATTGCAGGAGTTATTTTACTTACTTTGGTAAGTTACTTGACTCACCCTGATGAGCGCTGAGTAGCGCATTGTGTGTTTCTAGTCAACAAAAAGGAAAACAATGCCAAGATGTGTTCAGCCAACTTATAATGAAAATAAGAGAAGAGGATGCTTTATCACAGACTCCTGACAACAGATCACAAAGACTCTGAGGTTCTTTAAGGCTAAACTCAAAGGCTTCTGTCAGCAGAAAGATGTGTATCTCTGTTTCCTCTATGATAAATTTCTCCCTGTATGACTGCTGAAAAACGGAGAGTTTATAAAGAAGCACCTTGCTCTTCTACCAAAACCTGACATTTATGGTTGATGCTTCAGATAGCTGAAAAATGATCTGCTCTCAAACTGTTGACTGTTGTCTACATTTAGATAGTTCTCCGAGGAAACAATGGAAAATGCACCACCGAACAAAAACTGTCCAAAACAAGAAAAAAAACATGTGAGTTATAACATATAAATGGTGAATCTGTCCTTTAAAGCAATGTATGAACAACAGCTTACCAAGACTAAGAGTCTACAGCCATGCTAGCTGCTCTGTGAGGCTTTACCTAGGCAGTGTGGAGCTTTGAGCTAACACCAGCAGGCTAACATGCTCACTAACCCTATAATGTTCATCATGTTGGTTTACAATGTTAGCCCTCTCATTAGCACTAAACACAAAGTACAGCTGTGGTCATTAACCAAAGATCAAGATGGCTCCAAGAAATCTAATGTAGCTATTTATAACAGTGTGAATGGTGGATTTCTTTCTTATGGCAACAAATGATGCAAAGACCAGTTGACGTAATCCTGGGAGACTGATAGTACCTGAAAGCAAAATAAAGAATCCTACTATGGCGAAGGCATGACCTGCCCTACTCTGCCTCTGATTGGCTAGTACTTGTTGCCTTCGTCAGTTCAGGTTGGTTGGGATTAGGCATGACACTCGAGGTAGGGGTGCAGGGCAGCTCCTCTCGTAGAGCGCGTGCCCCGTGTTGCATGTCACCCTACCGCAACCTTTCTTTCCTATCTTCACCTGTCCTAGCAAATAAAGGTAATCAGAGGCAAAGCAGAGTGGGACAGAGGCAGATTAGGGCGGGTCATGCCTTCACCGTATTAGGATTTGTAAATTCATTACCTGGAAGGACTAACACTCACAGCTCGAGGGCTGCAACAGCTACTCCACAAAGCAGCCAGACAGCACACTGTGGTGATAGTGGGCCCCCAGATGTGGAAGTGTTTAAGTCTATCAATGTGAAACAGGAATGAAAAGGCTTCAAGCAATTAAACGCCACAATAACCTGTTTGTGGTCACACATGTTCATGGGTCTACATGAAGAAGCCCATCTATGAAAACGAATATCCAGCAGCTGCTGCAGCTTTGTAACAACTCATTCCTTATCCTCTGCTCTCAAATGAAAACTCTTTAAAAAAATTCTTTCATTTTTCTTTTTTCCCTCTTGAATCACACCTTCCTTTTTGTCACATCTTTCCTCTCATTTTCTGCTGAAAATCGAACTGCCTTGGTTCATTTTTATCACCTATAATAATGTAATCATATACATTTGAGGAGGGAGACATTTACTGTGTGCACTGTCTAAGCTTGCCTGTAATGTATGTGATCCTAAAATTTAAGTTTTAACATTATATTCCTGTTAAAATCATTTAATATGATAAGTCGATAAGTTAATAGCATTCAGAAAATGAAAAAAACATGCCTAAAGATGAATGGAAAACACATACACACCCGCACACACACCTTGTCTGACTTAAATGCCCTGTTCTCCTCCCGCCTGTGCTGTCAAGAGTAATAAAACTAACTTACAACTGCATTTCCCCAGCACACAGTGAAAAGCTGAACTCCTCCCTCCCTTTTAACGTCTTCATTTAAATGTGCATTTGAAGAACAAGCGCTTCTCACATCTTGAAAGGATGTTGATGACTGGAGCACAAATCCCCATACATTTTCATGAGCAGGGATATGTACTATCACAGTGATCTGTGAGGGGATAGCCAGCAGGTTTATGAAAATATAAATTGAAATATTTTTATTGGGAGTGCCGTAAATGAAATATGAAGCAATAAATGAAATATTTCCTTTCAGCGGGAATATATCATATTGATGCAGTTGTTATTGTGGTGGGCTGAGGGCCATATCTAGACATTCATGATTCTGAAAAACATTTTTTTTATGAAAAGGAATTTGTGGAGGTCCTTACAATAAAGCTTTATGGATCAACATAAAACACTGTTTACTGTCATGGGCAATGTTATTACACTTATACACACTTTGGAAGAGCACAAATTGGCGGATCATGTAAAATGAAAACAAACTTTTTAAATGTTAGGAAGCATTTGTGTTATTTTAGGTTAAGACTAAAGAAAGGGTCAATTCACAAGGAAGGGGTGGCGGCAGATAGTTGGTTTTATCTGTCCATGTGTTGAGATGTCATTATATTTTTGCTGACAGCCCAGTACAATGGACCTATTAAATATTAACTGTGAAGAAACCTTTCATCACAACAGTTGAAATACAGTGTAATACACCAGAAATGTCCTTGCCCTCACCTCTTGAATGAATGAATTCCACTCAGTAGAGTAAGAGTTGCTTAGTTTCTAACCTTAAACTAAAAAAAATAATATGCAACAACCACTGGTTTCCTGTTTGGTCAGCCTTGTTTCAATGTCAACATCCTTACCGAACACCTTGAGGAAGAGCTCCCTCTCCTGAGATCCTGCCTTGTTGGTGGCCTTGCAAGTGTAGGTACCCCCGTCGCCCTGTCGGATGTTGCGGATGGTTAACATGCTGCGCCCTCCTTCCAGCCTGTTGAAAATGTACTGCTCTGACGGCTCCAGCTGCTGCCCTTTCCTGCACAAAAACAAAACAGAAGCACGCATCGCAGATGAGCGACAGGAACAATATCCAGAAACCAACTCACACCTGACAGTGCCCTCCACAAAATTCACACCACAGCATCTGTAACATCAAGGGTGGTGTTACAGATGTATAATCTTAGCACTTTGGATGTCAACTGATCCTATAAAAGAGAGGCTAAGTGCAGACAGTTTGGCTTTGAAGCTATTTCTATCTATAGCACGTAAACAGACGAGAACGTGACAGCACTTTTTATAGAAACCCTTTCAAGTACGATGAAAGCATTGTTTTAGATAGACATATCATTCTATAATTGAAATAGCTCAGCGCATCATTTTGTAGCTTGTCATCAAAATTTTTCAAATGCTACGACTTCTCAAACTTTGCCATGCGGAAAAATAGTATCTTCATATCCTCCGTTAATGCTTGAGTCTCTTGAGAGCTCACTTGTGTTGTTGTGTACATTCTGTTATGGACTGCAGCACTCACTAAATGACTCCGGTGTGGTGTGGAATGCAGTGCTGACTTAATGCCTTTCCTTATTGGACTCTGTAGGGAAATTAGTCAGAAAAAAGCAACAGCTAAATTGATCCATGTCTATATTTAAGCTTCATAGCAGAAGCATATGGGTGTGAAGCAGGTTCGCAGCCTCCCCCGCTTGTTTATTTACCGCAGCTTAACCAGCCGTGTAATCTATAAGGTTAAAGGGATCGCCAATTTTGGGGGCATTTGACTTTTTTTCTCTTACTTACACAGATTTAGACAAACTCGTGGGTGCTTTTTTATGCCATCTGGATGCAGGATAAAGTATTAGATCCATGACTGTGATCAACAAAAGGTAATACACTTTTAAAACTTTTTTCTTTTACCTCAAAAGATGTATGGAGAGTTAACAAACAAACAGACAAAGTCGCTAATTTCACTTTATTTTGTTTACCTGCGCCCACAGGTGTGTAGGACAAATATACATTTGAATTTTGAAATAGAAAGTTCTTAAAGCTGCACTGATCAATATTTCTATACCAACAATGTGTCAAATGACGATACGCAATGTGAAAGGGGGTAGCGCCACAGCAACAGAGAATTATCACCCGAGCGTTTCAGCATCTGTGCAACATAACATTAAACTGTACGGATAGATAAAAAGTATCCATGAACCAACCCTATGTGTAAAAGAGGAAACAAAGTAGAAGAATGTGTTACATTATCTAAAAAGCAAACTATCCTTTTAAAATAGAAGCCGAGGTTAGAGAAGATATTTGCCAATTGATCCAGTGGAAACAGACAGTTGATGTTCTAGTTGTCCAGAGGTCAGAGATGCAGCCTTGTGTTGTGGCTGGGCGATATGTGGTTTGAACCTTTGGATCAGCCAGATCAGTGAAATGAATAAGTAATGTTCTCCTCTCCCTAAAAAACTACAATCTGTGTGTCCTTGAGCAAGGCAGTTAACCTCCAGCTGCCTCAGTGACCAGTGGTGATTATAGGGGCAGATCCTCAGGTGAGCGTATGTAGCTGGATGAGAGAGAGAAATTCTTAAAAATAAAATCATTTTGTATAACAGAATACCAAGAAAAAGATGAAGCTGATGTTTACTGGTTAGAGCTTGGATAGCAGTATTGTCAGTTGCAATTTATTATTAATCCACCCAAATACTATTTTAATTGTGTAATATGAAGAATAGGGATGAAAACCTGCTTACTGTTTACCTGTTCATTCAATATGGATGATAATGCACTCAATCTCAACCTTGCACCCTGTTTTATAACCTCATAAGCTATTGTGTCTATTGAATTTAAAAGCTATGAAACACAGAGCTTTGAATAATGCATACCTCTAAATATATTTAGAGACTTCTCTATATATCTCAGACTGTATAGCCGACTGTGTGAATGAAAAATAAAAACACTATTATTATTTTGGGGATTTCAAATGTGCAGATTTCTTAGACTCAGACACAAATGCAGTAATGCTGTGTAGCGAGGCCCAGGCCCCAGCCTCACCGTTCTGTAGGAGAAGTGAGAGGGAGGATAATTGAAAGTCGACGGAGGAAACACCAAAGCCAAGTAATAATAACTGTGGCGAGCCAAAGAGGAAATGAAGAGAGGCCTCATCTTTGGAACGGACAGTGCAGGACGGGCTGCAGCACTGAATGTCATTATACTGACTGACTGCTGACAGGTAGTCCATTACCCAAGATGCACAGAGGACGAGGCGAAACCTCGCACTGACAGGAAATGCAACTGGGGATGCTGGAGGACGCTGGGAGCGGTGACATCAAAAAGAAAACTAAATTGGATTGTGATTGTTGTTTACTCCTAAGCCGATTCTTTTGTTGAGATGAACCCATTTTAATTCTGCAGTGTGGGATTGACACGCGGGACTTATTGACCTGGGAAATGAAGGAGAACACACCGAAATGTCTGACAGTCAGTGGACACTGAAGAGCTTAAGATCAGTGTTGATGTACAGTTGAAGTGATGCTATGAGAGGCAGCTGTCTGCCCTTGACAAGTTCTTTACATAAGATTGTACTCAGAGGCGGGATTACCGTGAATAAAGATTTTCCTTTAAGGCAGAGTTTTTGTGGAATGGTACCAAAACATCATGCCATACAGACATTAATAGAGCGTTGAAGGGATGACATCGCCCTGGTTCCTCCCAAAAAAAGTTTCCATTGCAGAAAATAATATCTGTGGTGAACTCATTTTGTTCAGTAAGAGAGTCTCCACAAACGAACACGTTTAATGTCCCTGACAATCTGCAGAGCTCTATATCATTAATAGTAACTGACACAAATCTCATGCCACTGACCAATAGCAAGCCACCTGAAAGTGTTGAGTGAATGAAGAGCTGGAGAGTCCAAATTGGAGGAAGCACCTAGTTTTATATAATCTTACTTTGTCTGTTTATAAACTTCTCAGTGTTGCTGTACCACTTTCTGGTCTAAAAATACTCAAATGGCAAATTGACACCGGCTGCTGGATGAGTCCTTTCATCTCTGGGTCAGTATTTAGCCTATAAGAGACTGATGTCGGTGTCAATACACAACTTTGAATCCTTCCGTTAGCCTCTTTCACTCTAAATCTGGGCAGATGGATAAACAAGCAAGCACAATAATTTTCTTCACATGAACAGGTTTCTCATTTCAATTACCTTTTGTAATTACCACGCCAAACATAACTCAATTTAATATTATGATGCAAAAAAAAAAGACACAGTGTGTGGAATCATTATCTAGGAGCAAAGCTGTCACAAGCATAGTCCCAATATGAAAGTAAAAACGAATCAGTTTACACCCATCATCACTGTGAAATCTGCAGCATCATATTATGCATGCGGTTAAATCATTAAAATCAAATTTTCCTGGTTTGTTCTGTTGCTGAAAGACAAGGTAACACACCCAGCAGTAAATATAATTTCTGAAAACCAGAGAGCAAGATGAATGAGACTTACAAAGTTTACGTTGTTTCTAGCTGTGAATGTTTTGTTTGTACTTCGCAAAGTGATGCATGCCTTGATGAATATTGTTAAAGGGGATATTTCAATACACATATTCTGACTTATTCAACATCTTTGTATACGCTCCTTTCCTTGCTTTATGTGTAAGACTGACATTATATTTTAGTTTTAAGCTTAAGGCCCTATCTAGAGCCAATGTCCCTATCTGGCAGCCTTTGTGGAAGAGGACCAACTCCCATCTGGAGATTGTAGAACAGTCAAGGTATATACACTAATGAAAACATATCTTTGAATATTATATAATTATATAATTTCTGCCAGTAGATTCTCCTCAATGTTACACACTGGACCTTTGTGCAGTATATCAGTATGAAAAAAACTCATATCTATTTCACAAACTGCCTTGCTTTTTCTCAGGCAGTTCTGACTATGCTTCTGGATTATACCTGCTGGTAACAACATATATACATGAACCTGTTTGAGAGTATTTAAAAAAAATAAAAAATAAAAATAAAAACACAATCCAACTCTTCAAGACAACAAAACAAACGAAAAATAAAACCTTGAAACTGCTAAGAATGAAAGGTAAGTGTGGGTGTTTAAGACTTCACTTGCTATGTGTCATTATGTGTTATTTTACCAGCCACTTCTCTAGCCTTTTTCCCTCCATTATTGTTGGAGGTATAAGTATTGAAAAACAGACTTGTGACTTAGCAATATCGATATTTTTCCATATATGGCATGTTTTAGGCCCCTCACTACAACTTAAACTTACTTTTAACCAATTTTCCAAAGCATATTTAGATGTTTTTAATGTATTTTCCTATACTTCCTTAAGCGCAGCCATTGATTTCCATCCATTTCAGTACAGCATGAAAAACAACTTACAGAAACCAGCCCGAGGTAGGTAATCAGTTAAAACAATCTGTCTGACAGCATTTTTGCTTAATAATGCAGTTGTGGGTACCGCTTATAACCCCCTACTGCATTATGCAATGACAAAGGAAGTTTGAAACATTAAAAAACAACAAACTGGACTCCTATCTTCATCCTTACGTTGATGGATTACTTCGAGAAAGTGGTGAAATTAATTGCTGCCTTAAAGGAAGGAAGTGCTCATTCGAAAATCGAACACACTACAGTATGCTTTAGACAGTCAGCAGCAATGCAAGATATAATTGATTTGTACTAAATGGGCTAAAACATACAGCAACACAACTATGGCCCATTAAGATGAATTATCTAAAAGAACAAGCAAGTGTATTGTGGGAAAAAAGTATGAACACTAAAGTGTTATTATGCTCGGGTGAAAAAAGGCTTGTCACAATTGTCTACTGAGTGGGTGCAAGCTAATTACTGGATATCGAGGTGTAGAGTGGATGGTGGGGTGTCAAATGCTCTTCAGGTGTAAAGTTTCACACTGTTGCTATGCGGCATGCGATATTACTGTGTGGAGGCTTAGGGCAATGTGCGAGGGCAGACTATAAATTCCTCAGTTAGAACTGTCAAAGAATATTTACTTGATCCGTGACCAAAAAATTACAATGGTACAGTACATGTGTGGGTGGTTTGTAAGGAAATATTACCACATACATAGACATAAATAAAAATGAATACAGAGGTAATGATGATGGGTAGTAACACAAAGGTACGGCGGCTGAGAGGTATCAGCAAATTCTAAAAAGTCACAACACAACAGATGTTGACAACGAACTGCCGCGTTTGAGAAGTATTAAGTGAGCAAACTATGATTACTGTTGCTGTGCGATTGTGACAAATTAAGTTATTCGGCATCCTTATGTTTTCACAATTACCGTGGAACTGACGGATGCAGTAATCATGTGCTTATGATTTGAGAATGCAGCAGATTTTACATTGTTTACATCTGCATCTAGGCTCAACATCATCCAGTGGCTTTATTTCAGCTACTTCAGAGACTCTTGTTTTTCCACTCGTAAAAAGGACATGCAGAGGTTTTATTCTGAGCTCATGGCGACTTGATGCTGTGTAATATTTGAATGTGAGGGGGAAAGAAATGACTGACAAAAGCATAAAAGTAACGTTAGATCGTGAGTAACAAACTCATATCGATCCAAATATGCAAATTTGGTCACTTCTGGCTCAAGTCAACATCCATAATGCTAAACTTAAGGCATCAAAATGGTACTCCACAAACCAATGGGTGACGTCACAGTGCCACTTCACTTTCTTTTTGCTCCAAATGTTTTCTGATACCCTCGATGGCCACATGTATGTGGACCTTAGATTTAGAGCTGTTTAACATGGTTTGTAACACAGCCAGGTAAAAAATGTTTTTTCCCAGTTTGGTGTGGAAGGACTGGACTGGCCTGCACTAAGCCCTGTTCTCAACCAATACAAGGTAGGCCACATGAGCTCCTCACCTCACTCATGCTTTTCTGGCATGAGTGGGAGCAGATCCCTGCAGCCAGGCTCCAAAAGCTTGTGGAAATTCTTCCCAGAAGAGGTTGTAGCAAGCAGATCAACGGCCATTATATTGTAACGGAATGGGTTTAATATTATGGTGTTCACTTCTGTTTATATCCATCCTTCATCTGTGAAAGCCAAACAATTTTCAGTCTGATGTTTTCCTCCAATACCTCTCTGAGCTGTATGTCAGAGAGCAATGCTAGGTATTAAGGAAGTAGAAGGTACCTGTGCCATGTGACCACAGGGTCAGGAGATCCAGAGGTGATGCAAGTAAAGGTGACTGATTCCTGGTAGTCAGCTGTGGCATTGAAGGACTGCTGGGACACTGACAGCACCGGAGGGACTGCAGACACAAAAACAAAGCAGAAAATATGCTGTTATTAAACCCTGAGAGTTAATAAGGGGAATCACTAAAAGGCAAATTCTGACTTCATTATAAAATAAATTTCAGTCTTTGTGAAGGCTAACATTTTCAAATGGATTAAATTGGCCTTTGCGAGTGGCCTGTAAGCACTCACTGAAAATGCTACTTCTGTTGGTAATCCCATGGGGATTTCAACTAACATTTTGACCCAGCTTTGGTAAAAACACAAAGGAGCGGAACACAGTGATGTGAAACCATAATACTATTGTCTGATTCCGAAATGCTCAGCTAAATCCATACAAACAATGGCAAGACAGAAAATGTGTTTCAACATCAAAAACCACTGTTATAGCCATGAAAAACTGTGCTTTTCTTTTGGGAAGAAACTATTCAATCTCTGTCGAGTTCTTGAGCTCCAGCCATTGTTCCTCTTGTCAGGCCAATTTCTGCAGAGTCAAAATTAGAAGTGCTTCATTGTTGTGATTTTAAGGTTAGTGGTTTGAACAACAAACTTGTTCTCTCAGGCACAGAATATATACCGTAATTCTTTTTTTTGGTTATTGTTGTGACTCCGAATAAAGATTAAACACCATCAAGCAAACAAACAAGGATGTCCATTGACATCACTTAAGGTTGACTTATTGTTTGAGCTTGCACCCTAGAGGGAGGGAAGAATGAAGATCAGACCTATCTTACATGATTTCATGTGATTGATATTACGGTTTCTCATATGGTATCATGAGAACACATTTAAATCTATACTTTTTCTAATAATGCTGATTATTTTTTAGCTTCATGTGGTTGTAAATTGGTCTAAACATGTACATGCAGCATATAAATACATACAGTGTAAATATTGATACAATATGTCTTTCTAATCTTCTACAAACAGCAGTATTGATAAACAGCACAGAGTCTTGATGACTTTCTCAAGAGTATATGTGGAGCGCTGTCAGGAACACGCAGTGTGTCGCTGCCATCCAACCAGTTGAAGACTGTCATCTTGTCATTCGCTAAAAGGAGAGCGGGCACAGTCTTTTCTCTGTTTGCCTTTGCAGTGACAAGGGAATGACAGGTTTATGGCACAAGCATGTTTATCAGGCTGCTAAGTCCATTTCTCAAGCCTGTACTTAACTGCACTTTTACACACACTAGAACTGCTCTGCCGTGGCTCTGTCCAATCTCAGGCCATGATTAAGCATGTTTGGTGTAGCTTAGTGGAGCTCTGGAACATTTACGCCTTCAGTTTGCGTGTGAGGTAGGGGAGAACAAAGACATTCAATAACGGGCGACCATCAATGAAGTGCACCACCTGAACACCTGAAGCTGCACGTGATCCAGCAGCGACTCATGTTTAGACAGACAGAGTAACAAAACTAGTTTGGTCCAGTGTACATATTGTCTATATCTTATAACCAAATACATATCATTTTTTAAATTTTTTTTAGCTGCATGAAATAGTTTGTGATATTGTTAGGGGATCAAATTCAGCCACATTCTTAATGAAGAATATCTGCCTCACATGCTGAGACGTCCTCTCACTCCTCCTGCTCTTTGTATTTCAGGCCCTGCAGAAAGCTCGAGATCAGTTCCTGAGCAAAGGCAAAAAGATCCGTGGACCAGCATTAATTAGTCCAACAGCTCCACCTATTTAATTTGTATAATGAGATCTAGTTGGACAGAATCTAGATAATGACAACGCTAATTAAGGCCAGGTGCAAATGCAAAGGCCTTTGATTAGATGTTATTATCTGGACAACATATCTAGAACACTAATTACATTTCAACACCAAGCGTAAATGAGATTTAAGCTCCTCCCACCTCAGGAATGTCACAAGGTTAACCAAAAGTTACTGTAACTTTTGTTTACAAGCCCTGGTTGACTTGTAACCAGGCGGTGTAAATGTAAACAAGCCAAACGGCAAAATGCAACAAATCACAATGTTCCAGCAATGGTTATGGCCAAAGAAACAACTCCTATTCAAACATGGCTTGTTTGCTTTAAAACTATTCAGCTACTTAATATCTCTAAGATGAAAATCAACAAAATGTCAACATAAAATCAACACAACCCACACAAAGAGCATGAAATGAAGGGAAATCACTTCTAAAGACATCTTGAGTTTAGCGTCTGAAAAACTCTGCAAATGAAAGCCTATTAAACAGATGTTTGCACTCGAGTTAAATATATGTTACTGTAACTGGCAGCTGCAGTGATATTATTTCAGCACCATTTGTTTTCATCTGATCAAAAACAAAAATATGGCTTGAAAGGCATTAAAGGGTGTCACTTTAGTGGGAAAACAAAGCTGAATTGTATCATATTCCAAACCTGTAAACACCCAATTTGTTGTGGGAGTTACTGAGAGCTAATTAAGTGAATTTGTCCTCCTAATGGTGTCACCTGGAGGAGACTTACTCCACGTAGATCTAACACAGCTCGGTAAAAGATGAAAATTAAATATGATACGTGGCTTAAAATCTCATTAAAATGCAGTCTTGATAAACACGCGTGTAAAGTTGGTGGAGGAAAAAAAAAGACATACTTGGGATAATGAATGGGGAATTCTAATCAAAACAAAGCATCATCGCAGACACCTAATGAACCAAACACTGCAGCGAACTGTAGTCTCTCTTAAAAGATCAATTACACTAACGACACCAGTGTGTATTAATGTGTAAGTGAAAAACTCTTCAGGGTACATCTAAATTCCACAGTGCCTGATCTATCTGCTCTCTCACGGTGTCTATTCATCATTTAGTTATTGCCGTGTGCTGAAAAAACGAGTGAATATTTCAATTTTTGTCAGTAAAATCAGCGAATCACAATATGAAATACAGGCCTGAACAAGCGCACACGTGCAGAGACACACACCAAGGTTCAGAAAGCTTCTCAGAGATAAAAATGGCCTAAGCAATAATCAAACACTATGAGTCTTTTCCAATAGTCCTGAGTCTGCGAATGAGAGGAGCGAGCATTTGCCTGACATGATAACCATTGATTTCCACGCCAATAGATCTCCGTTCTCCAGTGTCCCTCTCTTCCTGTACAATACACTCCCACACCAGTGAGCCCCGTTGAAACAGCCCTGTTAATGAGACTCACTGCCGAGCAGAAAGACTTCAAAAGAGCAAATCAGCAACAGGGTTTAAGCGTCCAGAAACAATCTGGCAAGCTTTATGAATTCTTCATGTATTAGTCATATTCTAAAAACTTCAGAGGCTCTGCGGAGATAATGCGAGGTTTACACACATCCCCACAAGCATGAGCGTACACTGCAAACATATTTCAAGATACAAACTCGCCTGCACTGATATAAATGGATCCTTGAGGTGCTAGAAGACGTGTTTTTCTGTGTGGCGCTAATGGGCTTCAATGAAGTGAAGATTCCTCGTGTTCTGAAGCTGTGAAATGTTCTTGGTAAATGTCATAACCGTATTACACGTACTAGAAATTCAGAAAGGGAATGTTTTGAGACAAGACCTTTGCTGGAGTGCTTATTAGGGATTTGTTTTGCCTTCAAGATTAGCACACAAGTTGGAATCAAACCAGCCCCGGTACATAATTGGGAATGTGACATAACAGAGAAGACCGTATTTTATTCTCTTCTTGAACACCCGGCGGTTATGATCGATGTCAGGGCAAAATAATTTAGGAAATCTTGAAGGACACAGCCAGTAGTTTCCACTGACAGCTGAAAGGGGGGAAAATTACAGGTCTAGTGTGTGAGTGAGTGAACCAACAATTAAGTGGATGGGTCTAGGAAGGATACAGGGAAAATCAGGAAGTGATTTCCATTTTGCATCACCATCAGTTGCCATAGAAACAAACTGTGGCTTGCGGGTAATACAAATGGAGAGCAGAGAGATGTTTGATACTAATAAAAGGGAAAACATTAGGCTCTATTAAAGGGAGCAAAAATGGAAAAGTCGGCAGATGCTAGTAAATCCTAGCCTTTTTTTTACAGTCAACACAAACTGATTTGCATTAACATTTTGGGGAAAACGGTTCTTTGTTTTCTTGCCAGGAGGTAGATGAGAAGATCAATACCACTCTTATGTCTGTACGGTAAATATGTAGGTGGAGCAAGTGGCCGGTTAGCTTAGCTTGGCATAAAGACTGAAAAAAAAAAGGGGGGGGAAACAGCTTCCCTGGCTTCATCCAAAAGTAACAAAATCCTCCTACCAGCACCCCTCAACTCTTCCCTTAGTCTTAATGCTAAGCTAAGATAACAGCTGATGACTGTAGCCATATACTTTAAGCATTGATGTTTGCCAGTGTGACATTTCACACTATCACATGAAGATACACAGAGGATGAAAAATGTTATTGCCTACTTGAAATATGTCTCATTTCATGGTATTCATCTCAACGCTCCTCTCAAGGGATGAAAAATGACTACATGTCATGACAGGAAGGACAAATATGTCCATGATAAACTGGACTACCAGTGTCACAGAGAGGAAGAGTAGGCAGCTCAGAATATTGTGAGATTGCCAGGTAAGTTTAAGAGGTTGCTGACGGCATCCAGAGAGTCAATTACATTTGTAAATTACCTAATTATGTCAACAAGAACTGGAAACACTTTGATTAACTACAACCAATTTTCAAATCCTTCTTTTTAAAAGGGAACAAACTTCAAGATCTGTCTTGTTCTCTTCGGCGAAAGGCGGTAATTGCGGGTGTCTTTTTGGACGTCACTGTCTCAGAGATTTAGATTCAGAACAGACATTTATTTAAATGAAAATCTTTGAGATTATTACTTTAAGCGTATCCCTCCACATTGTGTTTACGTGCAGCGGATGAAAAGCTCGCACAAGTCCACCATCATAACTTTTGAGATCACTCCCTGAAATGTTCTGCGACACTGAGCTGTTTTGCCCTCAGGTTGATTAGTCATTCAGTGGGTGGCCCTCTTCTTCGATACGCCATCATCCTCATCTACGCTTCGCTTTGATGATACACTGGAGTCTGGAGC